GGCACATTATTCAAATCGGATCATAGCAGTCATATAAACTGACCAATCGAAATCACTTGCACGGTATCTTTTGTATTTTTTGGTATTTGAAAAGGGTATTGTTATAAGGTGTAGAGGATCATTCAGGCCGCTTAGTTACATGCTATAGTCTGTTATCCTAATGAACGTTTATCTTGCCCAAATGAAATGTCAATGTTCTAAAATAATACTTTGGAATATATGATATACTTAATAACCCTCTTCATTATTCACTGCACTCAAAAACAAAAAATAAAATCAAAATTGCATTATTATGTCCCAAGAAGTATGATTCCAATTTATCCCTCAAATCGGGCAGGCACATCCTGAAACAATACATACATACACATATATATAATATTTGCGCTATGGTACATTGTATTTAATCAATCTCATGACAACACTATACACATTTACAATTATATTAAAAATAATAATACTTTTTGCATTACTCAACTCAATTAAAATATTAATTTGATTTTATTATGCTTTTTATTTATGCTTTTTACTGTTCTTCTTTGTTGTATTAGCGCTTGTTATTCCATATTCAAGTTCAAGAATTAAAAGTCTAACTTCATCAAATATCGTCTCAATTTCCATTATTCTTTAACTTTTAGTACTAGAAAAATGTGCAAAATTGATACATTTAATAAAAGTTCCTATTTTTTATTTTATTATAACTAATTTTCTGTGTAAACAATGAATATAAGGGCAGATAATGTTAACCAATCTATTTTTCAGCGATATTGTCGGGTTCTACAATTTTCGTTCTCCTGTATTCGTGGTACAAAATCCCGATTATATCAAAAAGATGACTGTAAAAGACTTTGATTTCTTCGTAAACCACACACCGTTTTTTAAAGCCGACGACGATCCTCTCATTAACGGAATGCTGACTGTAATGAAGGATCAACGCTGGAAAAATATGCGCAACACACTTTCTCCGATCTTTACCGCCGCCAAGATGCGCGCCATGTTTAGTTTGATGAACGAATGTCTGAATGAATGTATGGAACGGCTGCGCGATGCGACCAAAGGTGGAAAGAGTAACGATATAGAACTCAAAAGTTGGTTTTCGCGCTTGTCAAATGATATTATTGCCTCAACTGCATTTGGTTTGAAGATCAATTCTTATGAGAATAAGAACAATGAGTTCTATATGATCGGGCAATCGATTTCAAATTTCCGCGGCAAACAAATGCTCAAATTCTTTATTTCTAATACAATGCCCATTGTACAAAAGGTATTTATTACGAATATTCGAAAACAAAAATCAGTAATATACTATATATAATAATTGTATTTGCATTTATATTTCGCTTACAGATCCTGGGTTATAAAATATTTGATACCGATAAAACGGATTACTTCAAACGACTAGTTATAGATACAATGAAATATCGACAAGAGAATAAAATTCATAGACCGGATATGATTCAGTTATTGATCGAAGCCAAGCAGGAGTCTGACCAAAACTGGTCTGACGATGACATTGTAGCACAATGCTTCATTTTCTTTTTTGCCGCTTTTGAAAATAATGCCAATTTCACCTCGGTAATCTGTCATGAGCTAATGGAAAATCCTGAAGTACAAGAACGTTTGTACCAAGAGGCACTAGAGGTACGTGAGGAACTTAACGGGCAACCCTTAACTTACGAGGCAGTGATGAAAATGAAGTACATGGACATGGTCACATCTGAAACATTACGTAAGTGGAATCTCGCTGGATTTACAGATCGCTTGTGCTCTAAGGATTACGACCTCACTGATGATGATGGGAACTTAGTATTTAAATTTAAAACTGATGACTATGTGTGGTTTCCCATCATTGGTCTGCACTATAATGAAAAGTATTTCGAGGATCCCGACGCATTTAATCCTGAACGTTTTAGCGATGAAAACAAAGACAATATTAGACCCTTTACTTACCTGCCATTCGGTGTGGGGCCACGAATGTGCATAGGTTAGTTACAAAACATATACATTCTGACATATATTATCTTTACTTAAAATAACAATTACCTTTTGATATAGGTAATAGGTATTCATTGATGCAAGCCAAGGCTATGATGTACTATATGATATTGGACTTCAAGTTGGAGCGTTCTCCGAAAACGGTGAAAAACATAATGGATGATATACGTGGTTTTCAAATAAATCCGAGGGGCGGGTTCTGGGTTCGCCTTGTTCCACGCGCATAATCTTGAATCGAACAAGTCAAATTCGCAAATATGTGTGTCAATATAATGGAGCTTTAGTGAAGAGCCATTCGAACTTTAGTTGTTTATGCAAAGCATTTGTTCATGTTTACGAGTTTTAGTATATACTATATGTAACTGTAAAAAGATTTGCATATGAGATTGAGTACTTGTTTGTTTTTTTTTTTTTGTTTTTTTTTATACTCTCTTTTCTCAAAATTAATAAAGTGCAGATCTCTTTTACAAATATTTAAAACACAGCATAAAAAACCGGTCTTTATTTACTAAGAGTCTATAATTATCCATATATTGTTTCCGTTCTCAGATTCTCAAAGAATACAGGAGAATTTAAGCAGCAGCTAATGCTCTGCAGCGAAAAATGTCATAGAATAAACAATAAAATTTATAAATTACACTGGATCACAAATTTGAATTTGTTTTTTGTTGCACGGATCCCACTATCCAATTTGTATGTGAAATGGCTCACTGATTTCGAAAATCGAGTAAATTTTTTTTTTATGGATACGTTTTTGAGATATTTGCAATTTACCGTTATTCGACCAAAAAAAAGGTTTCTTCATTCAATCATTTATATCTCACTGACCAATTGAGCAATCTTACTGCAAATTATAGAAAATAAAAGTGAATGAAATTTCCTAAAAATATTGTCTACTCCATTTTTCCAAAGGCCTTATAATTTCTGAGAAATTGATTAATCACTTCGTGTTTTTACGGTCAAGGAAAAAACAAAAGATATTTTTAAAATTTTTTTTTATTATGACGGCTTTCTGAGATATCTAAGAACTTTCAATTAGCGCTCTGCCAATGCAATATTTTAAACTCCGGGCTTTTGACCATCGTTATATGTCATATTACAAATATAAATTGTTACTTTGCAAATTTTTTTTATCAATTTTATAACTCAATGAAAAAAAATTATTAAACGGCAAACTTAGTTTTGTAGGAAATTTACTGCTCTACAGGAACGGTCTCTACAATATGAAGCAAAACGAAACAAAAAAATATTGTAACGGAATTCACTATAAGACTTGTAATTCACCGTTTCGATCACTGGATTGTTAAGATCGTTTCTTTATTTCTAAATCCAACAATTTAACATTTTATTAGTTATTATCTTAGCTCACAGCTGTTACCTAGAACTGTGCCTGCTGCACAATCCGGCAGACCTTAGATCTTTAACAAAATTTCGCCACTGCAAATACGAATTTTGCATTTACATGTTTATATATGTATATATATATATATTTTAGATGTTACAAACTATATTATACAATTATTTATACGGTTCTATTGAAGAATCTATAATTTTGAACATCACCTGTTCTTGATTCAGCAGTATGGGCGTAAATTAAGCTATTAACAAGTAACGAAGGGCAAATTCGGCTGTAACCGAACTTTTTATAATCTTGCCACTCACAACATTCACAGCCCCGGAAATTGCTGGGGGCCCTGATTAAACTATAATATTTTGCATATTAAACAAGTAAGGAAGGGCTAAGTTCGGGTGAAACATTTTATACTCTTGCAACTTACATGAAACAAAGCCAGGAAAATACCTTAAGAAGTAAAACGTCAACCAGAGGATCGGGATCTAAGCAATTATATATATATACATATATTATATATAACTCATACACTGAACGACCTATTCGGCATAAATTTGTTAGAAAAACGAAAATCATTACATGTGCTAAATCAAGTATTCGCCCAATTATAATACATCTACTTTAGGCACAATGATATACTAATGTGATCAAATTGAAAGGTGAATTTTGTCCATTTCATCTCTTTCCCCTCCTGATGCAATACACTTATGCCAATGAATTTTCCAGTCATCAGAGCACTTGGGAAAATCCTCCGTCGTGATTACTATTAGAGCCTTCTTCGATTCAGCTTTTATATCCTCAATTGAGTCAAAACGGTGTCCTCGGAGTGGTCATGTGAATTTGCTGATTGCCAGAAATTACACGAAGGTAAATCAGGCGAATGCGGTGGTTGCTGCACGATGATAGTTGAAAATGTGACGAAATGAACACTAATAACCAATGCAGTTGAGATGGTGCATTATCGCACTTTTGTTCAATAAATTCAGACATAGTAAAAATCGAAGAATTGACTTTTAGTCTAACAAAACGACGCGTATCTCAAACACGAATGAATATTTTGACGTGAAATTTAGCACAGATATTACTAACAGTACTACCAACTTACCGAAAAAAAATATACATTTAGTACATACATAAAACTCAAATATTGGTCGACATATCCAGCACAAAGTCGCCTGCAAGTGCGAAAATTTTTATATCAGGTATGTGGAGGATCAGAGAAGTATTGACCCGATTCAACCCATTTTTGATACACACAGAATTACTATTCTTAGGAAATAATTCTGTCTGAATTTCATTTGTATATCCCATACATTGACCGATGTTTTCGGCCAAAAGTCATCTATAGATACTGAGGTCCACATATTAAGTATTAAAACGTCTGATATGAATGATCTCGAAAAAATATTTATTGAAATAATCGAAAAAGAAACATAGAAACCATGTCTCAAAATTTATTCACAAGTGTATGCTTCACATTTCCAGCAACGCTTTTCACCGGTGACTTCGCTTCACCATCACAAACATCTATTGCATTCTTTGTTTTGCTTCTCTCTTCAGAGTTTATACTGTTATACAATTGAACAATTTCAGCAAAGTCGCTCACTACTTAAATAGATTGGAATTGAGTGAGAGTGCCTAGTAGCGATAAAAGTCAGCTGTATTGCGATTGCTGCATGAATTGTGAAATATTTCAATAACAATATTTATTAATTCGACATATCTCGCTCTGTGCGGTGTTTATAAAGCTTTATCGTTAAAAAAAATACAATTAATTATATGCACACTCACTGATGGCTCTCGTAGAAGTACTAATTCTTTTGACACTTGTTGTGTTTTTATTTTACAAGTGGAGTGTTTCTAAATATTATACATTTCGTGATCGAGGGATACCGCACGACCAGCCAACTCCTTTGATTGGAAATTTAGATACCAAAATTTTCCTGGGAAAATCATCTTTCATAAAATTTATTATCGAACGATATCAAGCTTATAAAATCAGGTGAATTTATAAACAAATATTTTTTTGGCCTGGCTATAATATCAAAAGCGATAAGAGATTATACATATAGTACATAAGTAGGTGCCTCACAGTGCTTCAAAAAGGTACAACCTCTACGACAAAATCAGCTTCGGCTGTTGCGAAAGAATTGATTCATTTTTCGATTAAATCGTGAATCAATTATAATCAAATTGACTAATATGGAAGGCCATAAACTTATTGCTAAATTTTAGTTCGCGTCAGCTAAAATTGTATTTAATAAATCTTCAAACGAATGATATGTAGTGATAAATTAATATATATTGAGTAAATACTTAAAACGTCATTCAGACAATCAAAATTCTTTATATTAGGGACCTAGACCAATTCCATTCTAATTCAGCGCCACATAATTTTTAAAAGGGTTGTCCATTTAGTTTCGTCCAAATATCACATTTTGATAAATTTGAACGGCTTAAATTCAGGTGGAAAAACGGAAATCACTATATGGGATGTTTTGGGGACAGAGAAAGGGACGGACTGGTTGTACAACTTAGACAATACTCAGGTATACTTAAAACATATTTTCAAGAAATTTTCTAAATACTATTATGAGCAAAAAATAGTGAGACTTTGTTCATAATTTTAAAATTCATAATTTTTTCAAAAATTCTCACAAAAATCCCCATTGGCCCCAATATACTTGTCCCAATGTTTTTTCCAATCCTCAAAACAATTATTAGTTAATAAAATCAATTTCTCGTCTCGAACTTATCATGGCATCTTACGTCTATAAATTGTCGAAATCGGACCATAACTATACAAGCCCTCAAAAATGGTAAATGTGGACCGTGAAAATGTGTGGAAATATTTGTATTAAATTTATGAAATATATTATTGAAATTCAGAAAAAAATCGTTTCTTTATAAGGGTGAGCCTTTTGTACAACCTTGGTGATTGCTCCGAACTCATTAGCAATTTGCAGTTGTTTCAGGCGATGTGAGAGCTCGTATTGTCGTGATGAAGAAGATTCCGTCTACTGCAGTTGGTTTTCCTGATTTCTTGAAAAGCAAGTGGCGAAGAAATGTTTGTGTAACACTCAGAATTTCCCGTTCCGCGTTATTCATGGTATGGATGCGATATGTGCAGTTTTTCTAATTTGGCAATATTAGTTTGAGCACAGCATCAATAGCTTCCGGAACAGTAACTGATTTTAGACGATCTTCACGAAATCCCTCTTGGATTGATCTGGGACCCCGATTGAATCACCATATCATCGTTAAACAGAGGTCTTTGGAGAAGCTTCATCGCCACAAGTTTAATTAAAACTTAAGTTGCAAAATCGCGAAACAAAAAAGGCAACCTACATATGAGAATTTCAGCTTTCCGGTTGGCTTTACACCGTATAGAATTGTCAATATATATTAGATGAACTACACCTTAATTTATCACAGATTTGTGTGAGCAGTGTGTGGCTGAGTGAAACCATTTTTTCAGGCCTAATTGAAAATAAATATAAATATTTTGGAAGCAAATAAAAAAGGATCTTCGACCTACATATAATAAATACATATGTAAATAAGATAATAAATATGATTGAAATCCAATCGATTTCACCAAATAACGCATGTTGAATTGCCACTCAAGAATTTGTATTATAAAGATTTGCCAACACCTGGAAGTATTTTGATCTTTGCAATGTGGGAAAGTATAAACAGTTAGATTACAACTTAACGTAGACTTTCCTTACTTGTTATTATTTATTTTTGAATAGGAACTAGCCCTCGTGACAAGTTATACAGAATATGCTAGTTTTTTTAGGCTTGACATCAGAATTTCTGATAATTGGACAATGATATTGTTATTCATACAATAAGTCTCTATGCCGAATATTGTAGAAATTGTATATCGCACTTCATCAATATGAAAATGGATTCGATTAGGAATGAGTTACGTTTTAAACAGCGAAGTCTAACATAATTATTGAAATAAAATATACGAGGTGTGTTCAAAAAGTATCGCGAATTTTGGGTTTTTTCAAAAATTATTTACTTGTTCATGTCTATCTATTTTGTCCCCTTCAAAGTAATCCGCATGAGATATTATACACTTGTGCCAACGGTTTTTCCAATCTTCGAAGCACTTCAAAAAATCATTTTTTTTATCTTCTTCAGCTCCTCCATCGATGCCGTCTTTATCTCGTCAAGAGAAGCGTAACGTCGTCCATGGGCCTCTTCAGTTTAGGGAACAAGAAAAAGTCACAGGGGGCCAGATCTGATGGCTGCGGCATCAATAGTGTGTTGTTTTTGGCCAAAAAGTCGCGCACAAGCAACGATGTGTGAGCAGGGGCGTTATCGTGGTGCAAAAGCCAATTTTTGTCACATCTTCTCGGCTTTCTGAGAACATTTTGTACCACCGATAAACGTTGCTTCCAAAGTAGCTTCTTCGTGTGCCACAGTCACCATTCGGAATGCATTCGCGCACTTAATTTCGTTTTTCACACAAAATTTGATACAGGTTCTTTGATCCATTTTTTGAATAGGTAAAAATCGAAGACGATCCAAAACACGTGCAAGCAAAGCAGCTGTCAACAATTAAATGAACATTCAAAATGACCGAGCTTGTCGGCATAAGTGAGAGACATGAGTACCAACATAACGCCACAAAAATTCGAAATTCGAATCTACGTAACCCGCGAAAATTCAAGATTCGCGATACTTTTTCAACACACCTCGTATTACTAAAGAAATGCTAGAATCCAGAAATCCTATAATGAAAACTATATAAATAATAATCGAAAATTTAAAATTTCAAATGTTTTTATTAGGATTTCGAGAATCAATATGGAGCAGTTTTATAAACCAATTTATTAATATGTATATATTTTTGATTATTTCCAGTAAAATTTATGGAATTTATTCGATGCGTGATTGCAACATTCACATTCGTGACTTGGAACTCATCAAAAAGGTGGGTATAAAAGACTTTGATTCATTTCCAAATCACAACTCTGTCGGAGGAGAGAGCAGCGAAACATTTTTCTCGAAAAGTTTGATCGCTTTGAAAGACCAAAAGTGGCGGGAAATGCGAAATTGTTTGTCACCAGCGTTCACTGGGAGCAAAATGCGTTTGATGTTTACACTGATCAACGAATGTGTGATCGAAGCGGTTAACTATATCACCAGTGAGATTCAAGCGAGTGGCAATACCGGTGTGGACATCGAAATGAAAGATTTTTTCACAAGATTCACAAATGATGCTATTGCATCCACAGCATTCGGCATACGAATCAATTCATTCAATGATCGAAATAACGAGTTCTATCGGACCGGAAAAGCGGTTACTGAGTTTACTGGGTTCGTTTTATTTAAAGCTATTTTATTTGGACTTATTCCGAAAGTAATGAAGGTAAGTTTCTCATATTTTAAAAGTGTTAATTAATGATTGGTTCTGTCTTTCAGGTGTTACGTATAAAATTATTTGATGACAAAATTCTTAAATACTTCAATCATTTGGTAATTGATGCTATGAAATACCGAAAGGAACACCGAATTGTACGCCCCGATATGATACACCTATTAATGGAAGCTAAACAGCACTATGAAACATCGGATTTGAAGGGAGAACATGCTGAATTTACTGATGAAGACCTTTTAGCTCAGTGTACGCTCTTCTTCGTTGCCGGATTTGAAACCGTATCCGCTTGTTTATGTTTCACAGCGCACGAGTTGCTTGAAAACCCCGAAATTCAAGATAGACTTTACTTAGAGATTTTGGATACGCAAAATTCACTGGACGGAAGCCCCTTAAACTACGATTCACTTATAAAGATGAGGTATATGGATATGGTTATATCGGAGTCTTTGCGTAAATGGCCTCCAGTAATCATAACAGATCGTATTTGTTCCGCGGATTATAGTCTTAAGGACGACGAAGGAAGTTTTATTGCTAAAATTAAAAAAGGCGACAATATATTTGTACCCATAATTGGCATCCATCGTGATCCCGATTACTATCCTAATCCGAACCAGTTTGATCCCGAACGATTTTCTGATGAAAATAAAAATAAAATTAACCCAATGAGCTATTTACCGTTCGGTGTGGGTCCCAGAATGTGTATAGGTAAGAAGATATGAGAAAATATCATCGCCAATATGCTAATTTCATTAAATGTTTTATGAATATGCTTATCAGGAAATCGGCTGGCACTGATGGAGGTCAAGGCAATTATTTACCATATTATATTGAATTTTAAAATCGTGCGGACAGAGAAAACATGCGAAAACTTAATGGAGTCCATTTCTGGATTTACCTTAATACCAAAAGAACGCTTTTGGATGAAATTTGTTCCAAGGAACTCTTAAAGTTATTCATCTTTGTTTTTATATGAATTCCATTAAATATGTCATTTAAAATAATTTTTATTTATATCAAGAACTTCAATCACATGTCTACTTAGCTTGGGTAATTTCGACCATGGACACCATTTTAAAAGTTTTGGTCACGAATGACTTATTTTTCTTTCCAATAATTTCAGCCAAAGAGCAAGGCAAGAGGTCAGTCTTGAAAATTCCAATACCAACATGCCGAAAACACACCTTTGCGTCGGTGGCCTCCGTCGGAGCTTCCAACGAATTACATTGCCCGATCCATCATCAGGATATTATCGGTTCTTTGGCTTAGAACACTTTTTTGAGTTTCGTGATTTTAATTTTGAAGTTTATTATATTGGGGGTTAAATTTTTGCCAGTGTTTAAATGAGTTAAACTCTCCTGTCGAAGTACATCGCACCGCGAGGGAAACCAATGGCACACTCTAAAATAACCCACGACAATACACCACATATCTCCACAGGGCAATACCGCTCCTATATATCACGAGCTGACAAACAGAATGGTTCTCGCAGCAGATCCACTCCGAACATTTTTTACTCTTGTAGCTTGCAAAAGTTAAAGCCAAAACTTTAAGGTGTAAAACCAATCATACAAAATAAAGTCACCCGGAAATTCGAAAATCTTTATATTAAGTATGTGGGTGCTAAGGGAACTATTGGTCCGATTCAACCCATTTTTTACATGCAAGCATTATAAGAAAAAAATTATCCCTTAATTTTAGTTATATATATCACACATTGATCGACATTTTCAAGCGGAGTTTAAAATTGTCCGATTTCACACTGTGACGTAGGAATGTAAAGGAATATCGCGTTCCAAATTTTATCGAAATCGGTTGGCTGGGTGCCGAGACATGGGATTTCACCAAAATGTGGTCGGTGCCACATCCTTCGTCCAATTTCCATACCAGCTCCCATAAAGGTTTATCATACCATCACGGTGGTAAAATTTAATGTCTCTGATTTAGTTAGTTATTGAATTATAATGCTTTTAGTAGTTTGACAGAACCGCGATTTGTGGGCGTGGCAGTGGTCCGATTACGCCCATCTTCTTCTTCTTAATTGGTGTAGACACCGCTTACGCGATTATAGCCGAGTTAACAACAGCGCGCCAGTCGTTTCTTCTTTTCACTAAGTGACGCCAGTTGGATATTCCAAGTGTAGCCAGGTCCTTCTCCAGAGCTCTTTCAGAGCTTTAGTGTTTTCGTCCATTCGGACAACTTTTAATTCGCTGAACTATGTCAATGTCGTCATATATCTCATACAGCTCATCGTGGCCAACGCGCAAAGGACAATAAATCTTTCGCAGAACTTTTCTCCCGAAAACTCGCAACGTCGACTCATCAGTTGTTGTCATCGTCCAAGCCTCTGCACCATATAGCAGGGCGGGAATTATGAGTGACTTATAGAGTTTGGGGTTTGTTCGTCGAGAAAGGACTTTGCTTCTCAATTGTCTACTCAGTCCAAAGTAGCACCTGTTGGCAAGAATTACCCTGCGTTGGCTGGTCCAATCAGTTTGTTGACGGTGGGCTTTACTCTTTCACACAATACATTGGATAGAACATTATACCCAATGTTGAGGAGGCTTATCCCACGGTAGTTGGCGCAGATTGTGGGGTCCAGTTTTTTGTGAATTGGTCATAGCACACTTAAATTCCAATCGATGGCATACTTTCGTCCAACCATATTCTACAAAAAAGCTGATGCATGCTCCTTATCAGTTCTTCGCCGCCGGGTTTGAATAGCTCGGCCGGCAATCCATCGGCCCCCGCCGTTTTGTTGTTCTTCAGGCGCCCATATACTTACTCGTTATTTTCTTTGTACTAAGAAACCTACATAACAAGTTTCATCGAGATGACTCAATTTTTACTCAAGTTACAGTCTGCACGGATGGACCGACGGACGGGCGGAAAGCCAGACAGTCGACCGGATTTCAACTTTACTCGTCATCAGCTGGAAATTCAACCGAGAAAAACATACCCACGAGACACTAAATTCTGACAATGGTTTAGTGATCGACAGCTCCAACGCCGAAATCTATACATTCCTTGCCAGACGGGGAAATATAGCTATGTACAACCTAAGTTACTCCAATTCGTTCTTTGAAGACGAAATTGTGGGCATAACGGATAGTGCCAAGCGGGCTGGAATGCAGGACATGCGCATAGGATGATGAGACGCTCGAACATTATCCATGCAAAAGCGCAGCCTTCATTCAGATGAGAAGGGACATATTCCCAATTTGGGCAGGTTGGGAGAAAAAAACAGCTTTTTACCAAATCTGACTTGCAGGACAAGACTTTAATTAGTTAGCACCCGAGAGCACAATGGACCTCAGCGCCTCCCTTTCCAAGAAACCAAAGAATTCGTTGGTTTCTTAATTCACCATCTTATTTTGCAAAGAAATTTCAAAATTTCATAATGTTATAAATCTCAATACAAATATTAGGAAATTTAGACTGTAACCCGTTGTTTCTGATAAAGGGGAACGAAAACTCACTTTCAGCTGAATTGATAACACAAAGATTGTATGGGGCTTGAATAGATGGCACGTTATTCTCTAATCACCGTTCATTTTAAATATGTACTTATGCAGGAGCATCGTCGATTGTGCAATGCAACAACTTCAAGCAACAACACCAAATGCACAGGAAATGCACTTTTCATATACGCATACACAAGAATGTTGAAGGACTACACTGAAATTTAAGCGATTTTCTCGATTTTTTTTAATGATGAAATTAACTAATCATTCGTTTTTTTATCAATAAATACATTCATTACGAATACAAAATTATTTTTATGTTTATTTATTAAGTATGTAATAGTTAAATAGATTGTTGGAATGATGCATTAAAAAAGGTCGTGTATATGATGTCCATAATTGCGGACGCAATTTTTATGAGCAACAAAATTGTCAAAAAGATTATTAATCTATGGGAAAGTCGTTATCGCACTATGGAAGCTCTTTTCTTCTTGAAATTTTACAAAATGGCGGCGGTTTGAACAAATAGTATCGAGTTTGGCCCTTTTTTCGACAGTTTTTCGTAGAAAAAAAATGAAGATTTCAAAAGAAAAATAATAGCGAATGACGTTAAAATTGTTCTCTCCAAGTTGGAACCAGATATCTTCATTTGAGAGTGCAAACCATTTCGAAAAACACCATTCTGAGAAAACCGCGTTTAAAGATTGAAGTCGCTATGTTCCCCACTCTGTTTCCTTTCTGAAAGAAATGCTCTAGGGTTTTTAATAATTTGAATTTTGATAATGAATTTGAAAGAATGCTCACTACAGTGTATAATATCGATTTCTCGAAAATTTCACACTGAGGCGATCCCTTAAGACTAAAGTTATATGAAACTTCTTCTCACCATAATTATGATATAACATAGTAATAGAGAATCGTAAAATAATACAGCAATACATCCAGAAGAGCTGAATATAATTGGCTGAAAATTTAAAAAAATTTGATTTTATAGGCATTAGTTACATACACATATTTCTATTGTTTGAAGTACTTATTTCGTGGTGTATAATCTAGTAATCTAGTGGCAGCTGCCACTCGACAACAGGATACCAAATTTAACTTTACGAAAGAATATCGTCCAGCTACCACAGGCAATTGCGTATATTATCTAGCATTCTCATATTATAGTGTCAAAATCTGCTCAAACGCATTGAGCAACTTTAAAGAAGACATGTGTACTTTATTTTTTTCATTTATGAACTTTTCTAAATTTTCAAAAGTTAGTCAGATAAATCAAATGTGCAGGAATGAGAACTAAAATCATGATATGGCGGAATGGTTCGTTTAGTTCAAAATATCCACAAGATTTGAACTAATGTACTTAGAGTATTTTTGTTAATTCGATAGTCGTTACTTGGTAGTTTTATACGTGCGCTTTGTTTTTGTAAAATTAACAGATTGCCGCTTTACTGAGTAACGAAGAATAAACAAACCAGTTTTTTAGTTTAAAAGCTTGTTATACTCTCGCAACAAAGTTGCTAAAGAGAGTATTATAGTTTTGTTCACATAACGGTTGTTTGTAAGTCCTAAAAATAAAAGAGTCAGATATAGGGTTATATATGCCAAAGTGATCAGGGTGACGAGTAGAGTTGAAATCCGGATGTCTGGCTGTCCGTCTGTCCGTGCAAGCTGTAACTTGAGTAAAAATTGAGATATCATGACGTATTTCTTGGCTCCATAAGAAGGTTAAGTTCGAAGATGGGCAAAATCGGCCCACTGCCACGCCCACAAAATGGCGAAAACCGAAAACCTATAAAGTGTCATAACTAAGCCATAAATAAAGATATTAAAATGAAATTTGGCACAAAGGATCGCATTAGGGAGGGGCATATTTGCACGAAATTTTTTTGGAAAAGTGGGCGTGGCCCCGCATCCTACTAAGTTTTTTGTACATATCTCGAAAACTACTACAGCTATGTAAACTAAGCTCTATACAGTCGTTTCCTTCAGGCATTTCCATATACAGTTCAAAAACGGAAGAAATCGGATAATAACCACGCCCACCTCCCAYACAAAGGTTATGTTGAAAATCACTAAAAGTGCGTTAACCGACTAACAAAAAACGTCAGAAACACTAAATTTTACGGAAGAAATGTCAAAAGGAAGCTGCATCCAGGCTTTTTTTCTAAATTGAAAATGGGCGTGGCGTCGCCCACTTATGGACCAAAAACCATATCTCAGGAAGTACTCKACCGATTTCAATGAAATTCGGTRTATAATATTTTCTTAACACCCTGATGACATGTACCAAATATGGGTGAAATCCGTTCACAACCACGCCTGAAATCTCGATTATCACTTTATCATGCGAGAGTATAAAATGTTCGGTGACACCCGAACTTAACCCTTCCTTACTTGTTTTTAATTTATATAACTCATTCGCGATCCGCACATTTGTACTTTTGCATTTATTAACATTTGCTATTGGAATATACTTTCAAATAATTTCGTTATATGTAGTTTCATATTTTAGTATATGCGAGACACTCAATTCAATA